AGAAAAAAGATCAAAACAAAATGAAGAAAGCCTAAGGTTCATGTGGGATACCATCAAAAGGAATAACTTACATGTCATTGGAATTCTAGAACAGGAAGCACAGAGAAAATTATCGAAGATTTGTTGGAAGAGAATTTTCCTGGTATGATGAAAGATGAGAATATATCCATTCAGGAAGTCCAACGAACCCCAAACAGGACAGACCCCAAAAGAAAATCACCAAGACATATCATCATCACACTCACCAAAACCAAAGACAAAGAAAGAATCTTGAAGGCAGCATGGGAAAAACGGAAAGTTACCTACGAGGGGCAACCAATAAGACTAAACTTGGATTTCTCGACAGAAACCATGCAGGAGAGAAGACAATGGGATGGTATATATAAAACCCTGAAAGAGAATTATGTACCCAGCAGAACTGTCCCCCAAATAAGATGGTGAAATTAGGACATTTCTAGATAAGCAGAAATTAAGGGAATTTGTTAAAACCAGACCAACCTTACAAAAGATGCTAAAGGGAGCCCTTCGGACAGAGAAGCAACAAGAGCCAACAACTGACCATTAACATACATGGTGCTATAACCCAGAAACCAACCCAGCTATGGAAGTATCCAAAGTAAATAAACCTACAAGATTGTAAACAGGGAACCAGAGACATCAATTGACAAATGAGGACAACTATAAACCACAAAGAGGGAAAAAACTGTGTAGTTACAGAACTTCTAGATGGTAGGGAAGTCAAGACAACTACAAGATAAGCAGACTGTTCTAAGCTTGGGAAGAAAACTATAAATCACAGGGCAACCTCAAAGAAAAATGATAAACCTTCACACTGAAAAAAGAGGACCAGCATGTATATTCAGACAATAGCAATGATGGAAATGATAACACGATTCATAAACAAAATGAGCTCAACATAGAAAATTATATGGAACAAAGAAACTGTCACCACGAAAAAGCACGTAACAAAAATGACAGCAACAAATTCATATTTGGTGATAATTACATATCTGGCAAGGGACTTATCTCTAAGATTTATAGAAAACTCCAACACCTCAACACCAAAGGAATTAACAATCCAATTGAAAAATGGGCAGAAGACATGAATAGACACTTTACCAAGGAGGATATTCAGGTAGCCAGCTAATACATGAAGAGATGCTCACCATCATTGGCCATCAGAGAGATGCAAATCAAAACAACAATGAGATACCATCTCACCCCAACACTGATGGCAAGGTTCAACGAGAGAGAAATAACAAATGCTGGCGGGGACGCAGAGACATTGGGACTCTCATACACTGCTGGTGGGACTATGAAGTGATACAACCACTGTGGAAAGCAATATGGCAATTCCTTTGAAAGCTGGAATTGGAGATATCATTTGACTTAGCAATCCCATTACTAGGCATGTATCCTAGAGAGGTGAGAGCCAGGACAGGAACAGATACATGCAAACTCATGTTCATTGCAGCACTATTTACAATAGCAAAAAGATGGAAACAACCTACACGCCCATAAGCGGGAGAGTGGATGACCAAACTATGGTACATACACATAATGGAATGCTATGCAGCACTAAGGAATAATGTAGAGTCTGCAAAACACAGTATAATATGGATGAACTTGGAGGACATTATGCTGAGTGAAATAAGTCAATCACAGAAGGACAAATATAGTATTAGTTTGTTGCTGTGGAGGGTCAAGGAAAGGTTTATATATGGAGAGAAACTTTCTTTGTTGGTTGCTGGGGTGGGAGGGAAGGGAAGGGAACATTGCTAAAAAAATAAAAAATGCATTGACCCATGTCACTTTAGTTTTATGTATTTCACTGTGCATAAATTTTATATTTCAATAAAATGCATTAAAAAAAATTATCTATATGGGATGAAATTGACAACAGCAACTTGTAAGATTAGATAGGGACCTTAGGGGGCAGCAAGTGCATGCTCATGGGGGAGGAACAACTCTGAAAAGGAGGGTGAGAATGGTTACACAACTTGAAGAATGTAATCCATGTCACTGAATTATACATGGAGCAATGGTTGAATTGGTGCATACTCTGCTGTGTATACTGTCAACAATAACAACAGAAAAGAATGCACCTATATGAGGGCATCCCAAAAGGTGTTCCATGGTATGCTGACTGGTCTTCATGAAGGAAGGCACTGTGGTCAAATGAGTTTGAGAAAGCTGGGCTCTTTACTGCAAGGATCCCCAAAGCCTTGAATATCCCATTATATGGATCCAAATCTCCATGCACACCAAGGGGCATGGAGAGTACAGTGCTTCTCCAACTGTTCTGCTGTTGGACTGCCTTTTTCCTAGAGCCACACTTTGGGCTTGTATCCTTTGGCACCCTACTTCAGCAAAGGGAACCTGAATCTTTAGATTGCATTTCAACCTGAATAACGGGAATGATGCCTGACATACAGAAAGCATCCAAAAATATTAATTCTGTCTGTTTCCTGCGCTCTCCTGGTGGGAATGAGAGCTTGTTCCCTGGAGTTCCTCTCTCATTCCCATGGTAGCAGGATAATGCTGTGGTTAAAAGCGTGGGCTTCGATAACCAAACACCTTGAGGGAGTAAGTCTCATGGGGCTTGGGGACTTGTGACTATCACCTTAGGGGACAATTAGGTCAACTGGCATAACACGGTCCACAAAGATAATGTTCTACATCCTACTTCAGTGAGTAGTGAGTGTCTGAGGTCTTAAAAACTTGTAAGCGGCCATCTAAGATGCAACTACTGCTCTCTCCATCCAGAGTAAAGAAGAGGGAAGAAAATCAAAGACTCAAACAACTAGTCCAAAGGACTGACGGACTTCACGAAGCACAGTCTCCAGTAGCTTGCGTCCAGAAGAACTAGATGGTGCCCGGCTACCACCACCAACCTCTCGGATCAGGATCACAATAGGAGGTCCTGGACAGACTAGGAGAAAAATATAGAACAAACTTCAAAATCATAAAAAAGACCAGACTTACTGGTCCAACAGAGACTGGCAGAACTGAGACTACGGCCCTTAGACATCCTTCAAACCTGGAACTGAAACTACCCCCAGGGATCACCTTTCAGCCAAACAACAGACAGGCCTACAAAGTGAACAGTTAACACCCATGAGGAACATGCTTCTCAGAACAACCAACTATATGAGGCTAAAAGAGCTGCATTTGCCCTAAAACAAAGCTCAGAAGGCAAGAAGGGGAAGGAAAGGACAAACGGAAATGGATAATCTAGGGAGAAAGTAGGAAGAGTGCTGTTACATTGAAGGATTGCAACCAATGTCACAAAATAAAACATGTATAACTTGTTGAATGGAAAACTAATTTGCTCTGCAACTTCCATCCAAACCATGATTGAAAAAAGAAAGAGTGTGGGCTTTGGACTTCAAGTCCCAGCTCTGCTCCTGACTCTCTGTGAGAGAACACCCTTGCTGGGAGTCTACGTTTCCCCATCTGGAGAATAATGACAATAGCAGGGCCTACCTGGCTGGGTGATTATGATCAAGCACATCAAGCACTTGCCACGGTGCCTGCTGGCACTCAGTGAGCTCACAGCCAACACAGCCACTACTGTTCGTACTAACAAGGGCAGAAGAGAAGGTATGCTTTGATTACCTGTCCAGTAGGGCTCCCAGCTTCTTGGCTATATGTGCTCGGAATTCAGGGGTAGTCTGAAGCTCGTTGCCATCTTGTTGGTGCTCATCCACCTTATGCCTAAAACACACACGAAAGGACATCACCTCCTGCCAGCTCACAGGCTGCCCCTATGAAGGCAGGGACTACATGTGTCCTGTTCATTCCAGGGATTAGCAACAGTGGGTCTAGCCAGGGTCTAGCCTAGAGTCTAGAGCCACAACAACAGACTCAAACATACCAACTACTATAAAATAACACAAAACTGGATAATGTTTCCTTCTGTTACACATTAAGTCACCATGAGTCAGAGTCAACTTGATGGCACCTAGTAACAACTATAGCCTAGTATCCGGCATACAGCAAGGGCCAGTTATTTATTGATTGAATGAAACTTGAACCCAAAATGCATTCTACCTGAGGCTCAGCTGGGTGTCTGGTAGCTGGTTATTTGCAGCATCTGCAGAAATAATGAAAATTGAGGCATTTATAGAGGAAATAGAAACAGTAACAACATGTTTTGTGCCAGGCACAATTTTAAGTGATTTACACTTTCGACTTGTTTCGATTTCAATGAGTTGCAAACTGGTACCTTGGATGCCACTTCTCACGTGTACATTTCGATTGTTACTTTCTTAACAACCCCATGAAAGGGGTTATCATTATCCCCATTTCACTGAAGAGGAAGCTGAGGCAAGGAGATATAAAATAACATAGCCAGAGTCAAAAAGCTATAAGTGTCAAAGTTGGGATGAGGATCCAATCCACCTGGCACCAGAGTCCCTCTCTTAACTACCATGCTGAACAGGCAAGTCTAACTGTAATTTGATTCTAGAATTTACTGAGTGCCACCACATGCGTGGCTGTGTGCTAAGTGCTGTGGAGAGAAGGGGCTCAGCTACATCAATTACATTTTACAAACCAAAATTTTGGGGATACATGATCTGGTGGCCATTTACTCAACCAAATACCAAACGTTTACTATTACCCAGATGCAGTTGCTGACCAATTTGACCAATACCCCTGCCCTCATGGAACTTATATTCTACTTGGTGAGGACAGATAACAAACAACACGCATAAGTAAAACAATAAATTTATACAGTAAGTCTCTTTCTCTATCAGGGGAGGAAAGTGGAAGTGCTGGGTAGAGATATCATTTTATAGGACAGGCAGGGAGGGGTTCACTGATAATGTAACATTTGAACAGAGATTTGAGGGAGGTGAAGAAGTAAGCCAAATGGGCATCTAGGGGACAGCATTTCCAGCAGAGGAAAGAGTACCCGCAAAGGCCCTGAGGCAGGAGCCTAACTGGGAGCACTGTGGACTGGCAAGTGTCTAGAACAGGGGCACAGAGTGAGTGTTCAACTCAAGTACATACATCAAGTGTCCAGTATCTTTCCCAGTACACAGTAAATGCTAAATAAACGATAACACTTACTATTATAACCAGCTACATCTACTTTAGGAGCTCTGGTGGCATAGTAACTAAGGCATTTGACCACTAACCAGAAGGCTGGCAGTTCAAACCCACCAACCACTCCTCGGAAGGAAGGCTGGGCAATCTACATCTACTTTGATCAGCTAGACATTTATGAGGTAAAAAAAGCAATGAGTTGCAAACTGGTACCTTGGATGTCACTTCTCACGTGTACATCTCTTTATGTATTGGTCAAAGCTTGTTCACGTTTGAGCCTCACATCAACCTTAAAACCAAAAAAACCAAACTCACTGCCGTCGAGTCAGATCTGACTCATAGGGACCCCTCCTTGGGTTTCCGAGGTGGTATCACTACAGAAGTAGATTGACCAACCTTCCTTCCAAGGAGTGGCTGGTGGGTTTGAACCACCAGCCTTCTGGTTAGCAGTCAAACCCCATAGGCACTAAACCGCCACCAGAGCTCCTCACATCAATCTTAAGAGTCAGGTATTTTATAGATGAGGAAACTGTGGTCCCCAGAAGTCATGCTATTTGTCTAGGACCAGCTTCATATCAAGTCCTCTTTCCAGTGCCACCTAGTGCTGGGCTCTGGAGAAACCTGGGTGAAGGGATAGATCAGATCCCATCCCTCAAGAAGCTTACATCACATAACCACTCACTTGCAGGCCAAGTACAGGCCAAGGTAAACGCAAAGCATTGGGGATGCAGGGATGAAAGGAAAACACTACCTATGAAACCCAACCCAACTAACCCACCTCCATCGAGTCAGTTCTGACTCACTGACTCAGAGCTACCCTCACTGGGTTTCCCAGGTGGTAAATCTCTACAAAAGCAGATTGCCCAATCTTCCTTCTGTGGAGTGGCTGGTGGGTTTGAACCACCAGCCTTCTAGTTAGTAGTCAAATGCCTTACACACTGTGCCACCGGAGTGCCTATCTATGAAAAGATTCTCTTAAATTCGATAGTGGCACAAAGGCATCTAACTCAGACTTGGAGGATAGAGAAAGCTTTCCCAAAGATGGTATTAAAGGATGAGTGGGAATCAGGCAGGAAGGGAAAGCAGTTCATATGGAGAGATCAGCCACATACTTGCTGCCATTTATTGGGCCTTTATTATGTGCCAAGCACTGCAGAGGCATCATCTCAGGTACTTCTCAACCTTGTGGTTTAAGAAGCACCATTATCCCCACTTTACAGATGGCCATATTTAGGTGAGATCTCAGTCCCTTACCCAACTTCTCACTGTTAGTGAATGATGGACATGGAAAGGCAGGTCTGTATGCAGAAATGGCAGAGAAAACTGCCGAATTATGGTGCCCAGAGTCGAGAGGGCAGTGTGGTATGGAGCCTACCTACAGGAAGTGCAATAAGGCAGGAGGGTAAGCAGGGAAAGGCAGGTAGGAAATAGATCACTATGAGACTTGTAAATCTTTTTAAACAAATGCAAAGATTCTTAATGTTGCTTTACCAGCCTCTTCTGGCAGTGTTGGTGAAGTCTGTATTACTTCTTGGAATAAGGTTTAAATGAATAAAACATAATACACAGGATTACAAAGAAAACTAATGATATTGAAATCTCGCTTCCAAGGTTGTAAATCTTTCTGCTGTGTGGGTGGCTGGTGGGTTTGAACCACCGACCACACTGGCCACATTGGTTAGCAGCCCAATGTTTTAACCACAGTGCCTTGCCAGATGGAAGCAGATGTTACCTTTCAGTTAGAGCCTAATAATGCATTCCCATGAGGTACCGCAGTGCCTAAGGCATTTGACTGCTAACCAGAAGGCTGGCGGTTCAAACCCACCAGCCACTCCTCCGAAGAAAGCTTGGGCAATCTACTTCCATAGCGATAGTACCTTGGAAACCCAAGGAGGGGTCGCTATGAGTCGGGTCCGACTCGAAGGCACATAACAACAACATCATGACAATACGGAGTCACGGAATGGTTTCAAGTGCAGGAACAACAGTCAGAGTTGCGTGCCAATTACTCGCTGGCAGCTCCTCAAGGTTGTGGAGAAGGTGTTGGAGGCAAAGAAAGGCTGGATACAAGAATCCAGAGACCGAGCCCTGCAGTCATCACGGAGAGGGAATGGAGGCCTGCTCAATATGCAGTAGTGAGTATGGAACAAAGGAAGCCGATTAAGTGACATTTAGATGCCTCAGTTTCCCCGACCGGGATAATGGAACTACTCTCCCTGCTGCACTTGCCCGGGCTCTGAACTTGGACTTCACACAGTCCCTGCGGCTTTCTCAAGGAAGGCACTTGAGGAACTCTTTCCTCAACATCCATTCTCTCAGCCCCCAGAAGATCCTAGGCCAGCCTCTTGAGCACAGCCCCCTACCAGCTCTAGGTTTCTCCGGACCACTTGGGCGCTGCTCCAAGCCCCAGGCCGGCATCGCCGCCTCGCGGCACCGCGCCAGCACCTCCGCATCGCTGCTACTGCTGCTATCCGAATCGCTCGTGGCGCCTCTGGACACCGCCATCTTGAACCACCGCAAAGGATTGTGGGGAGTTCCTTCACTGGGCCATCCCTATCCGCTTTCACAACCCACGTGAGAACGGGGCAGCGCACGTCATTGTGGGGATTGTAGTTCCAGATGTAAGAATCCTGTGCCCGTGAGCTGTCATTAAAGCGCGCGCGCGCGCGCGCGCGCGCGCGCGTGTGTTTGCGCGCCAAGCATTTGTGTAAGTCCTGAAACCTGAGAAGTAGAAGTCTCTGAGATAACTTCTCTAGCGTTTTCATTCACAAGGGAGTTCTGGTGGCCTGGTGCCTAAGGCATGTGACTACTAACTAGAAGGCTGTCGGAGAAGGCTGGCTGTTCAAACCCCCCAACCACTCCTGGGAAGGGCGGTTAGGCAATCCACTTCTGTAGTGATTCCGTCTCAGAAACCCAAGGAGGGGTCTCTATGAGTCGGGCCCCACTTCACAGCAGTGAGTTCTTTTTTTTTTTACACAAGGAAATAACCGGATTCCGACTCACAGTGACCACCTCTGGGTTTCTGAGGCGGTAAATCTTTAAGGAAGTAGATTGCTCAGTTTTCCTTCGGAACCGCCAACTTTCCGGTTACAATCAAATGTCACTTGAGCTCCTCCAACGACATTATCAATTTATTCTAGTAATTCCCAAATCCACCTGGGCGTCAGAAACACCTTACGGAACTTGTTAAAATAAAGATTCTTGGGCTTTTCTAAAAACTAACCGAATTAGAACTTCTGAGAGATGGGACCTAGGAATCTGAATTTCTTCTAACATGCTAGGGCTTTGCTACTCTAGAGGTCCAGAGGTGCAAATGATTTGCTCTCGACTACTAACCTAAAGAATGGTGGTTCAAACCTACCCACGGGCACCACAGAAGAAAGGCCTGGTGATCTGCTTCAGTAAGGATTACAGCCAAAGATCCCAGAGCAGTTCTACTCTGTAACAAGTGAGGTCACTATGAGTTGGAATTGATTATTGCATTGCGTTATTTATTATTTGTTGCTACTCAGAGTCTAGCCCATGAACCAGCAGCATTGACATCACTTGGAAGCTTGCTACCAATGGAGACTCTTGGGCTCCACCCGGGACCTCCTGATTCAGAATCTGCATTTTAACAAGATCTTCAGGTAATCTGTGTGCACATGAAAGCTTGAAAGATGCTGTCACGGGTCATTCAGGTACACAGTTTGGTTCTGAGAACAGTGTGCAGTTTCCTATCCCAGGCCTTCTCAATCCTGCCTGCACATTGGAGACACAGTGCTTTTTAAACAAATACTAATTCCCAGGACCACCCCCCCCACACATACACCTGTTGTTGTTGTTGTTATGTGCCGAGTTATGTGTTATGTGTCGAGTCGGCCTTGACTCATAGCGACCCCTCCTTGGGTTTCCGAGGCAGAATCACTACGGAAGTAGGATTGCCCAACCTTCCTTCCGACCTAAGACCAATGAATTAGAATTACTACAATTAAGATACTCTGTAGTTAAAGATGAACAAAATCACTTTTGGTTGTCTTTGGAAAGCTTTTTCTTTCCCTCTATATTTTATCTTTGGGAGCTCTTTTTAAGGTTCAAACCCACCAGGCATTCCTCGGAAGGAAGATGGAGCAATATACTTCCGTAGTGATAACTGTCTCAGAAACCCAAGGAGGGGTTGCTATGAGTTGGGTCCGACTCGACAGCACATAACAACAACAACATATTTTATCTTTGACATTGAATGTGTCAAAGACTTTATTGAAATAAGCTCTCTGGCCTCAGACTTTTCTATTCCGAAAGAGAGGAAGAAGATTCACTTGTTCTTTTTTAAATAAGAATTTGCCCCCACCGCACACACACACCTATGATGTGGTCTGTACTTAAATTATGAAGGACACAAAGATGGGGGCTGGAGTAGGTTGTTGACCCCATGAAAAAGAGGCACTTTTTCTGCTTCCCCAAAGCAAAAGGAGGTGGGAAATATGCAGATTACTATTGCTCAATTGCCCCAAGGCTGTTGACAATCAATCATAAAGTGCATTTTATATGCTATGGTAAGTGAATAGTCCAACCAGAAAGAAGGTGTGGTAGTTAAGTTTGAGTGTCAACTTGGCTGGGCCTGGTTGAGTGGCTGGGCAGCTGGTGGTAGTTATTCCCCATGATGAGACTGGCAATCATCTCCATGGTAAGATCTATCACAAGCAGCTGAGTTGAGTTGGGTTGAGGCCTTTGGGATGTGGTCTGTTTCCCGTATATAAGGAGAAGCCTTGGGAATGGTCTCTAGCTTATGGCACGCTTGGACCCTGCATGTAGCCATGTCGTTGCTCAGCAGCCTGCTATGCTCTGCCGACTTTGGGACTTACAATGGACTTAAGTTAATGGCCTGCCATGTGGTTTGGTAACATCGGGACTGTGCCTTTTTACTTGTCAACCTTGGGGCTTCTCAGCCTCAGCAGCCAGCAGCTATTGGAGTGAGGAAACGCCTCTAGCTCTAGTGGGCCAGGAGCAGGAGGCGGAGCAGGACCTCAAGATTGAGTTTTCACTCAGCCTCTAGAGCCTGGCGCTTTGAACTTGGACTTAAAGCCTCCAAATTGTAAGAATAAACTCCTGTTTGTTAAGGCCATCCCATTTGTGGTATATTCCTGTCAGAGTGGCACTAGGTAACCAGAACAGAAGGGCAAAAGGGAAAGAAGAAAGGACATTTTGTATTGGTTGATTGGTGTAAACCTATTGATCACGTGATGGCCTTTAACAAGGAAGGTGCCATTATTTCCCTTCCAGTTGCTTTTGAGTCCATTCTGAATCCTGATGACCCCATGTCAAAGTAGAACTCTGCCCCCAGGGTTTCCACGGCTGTAACCTTTTGGAACCAGATTGCCAGGCCTTTCTTCTGATAGGTTCGAACCACCAGCCTTTTGGTTAGCAGCCAAGCTCCTAACCGATCACATCACCCAGAGACTCCTGCTATTTCCCTAAGGTCCTATTATGTACTATTTGTGTTTCAGGAGTTGAGGAGATTTTACATCCTGTCATCCCTCACTCTGCCAGATTTTGCCTCTTGTCATCTCAGTTTCTGTATAGTCCTCACTTTCCAGAGTTGAGACACTCAAATAATTAAACAGTACCACTTGGACAAATCTGCTGCAAAAAAGACCTCTTCAAAGTGCTGAAGAGCAAAGATGTCTCTTTGAAGACTAAGATGTGCCTAACCCAAGCCATGGTATTTTCAATCGCCTCATATGCATGTGAAAGCTGGATAATGAACAAGGAAGACCAAAGAAGAGTTGATGCTTTTGTGTTGTGGTGTTGGCGAAGAATACTGAAAGTACCATGGACTGCTAAAAGAACTAACAATTCTGTCCTGGAAGAAGTACAGCCAGAATGCTCCTTGGAAGCAAGAATGGACAGCCATTTTGTCTCATCTACTTTGGTCATGTTGTCAAAAGAGACCATTCTCTGGAGAAGGAGATCATGCTTGGTAAAGTGGAGGGTCAGTGAAAAAGGGGAAGGCCCTCAACGAGATGGATTGACACAGTGGGTCAGTGCAATGATGGGTTCAGGTACAGCAAGGATTGTGAGGCTGGTGCAGGGCTGGGCAGTGTATGTAGGGTCGCTATGGGTCGGAGCTGACTCAATGGCACCTAACAACAACAACGTTAGCACCTAGATAATGCTAGATAATGAAGACCACCTGAAGTAGAACAAGCAAAGACTATTTATTGAGATCTTAACCATAGTAAGGGATGACCATCCTCTGCATTTGGATGAGACTCAAAGGAGGCAGAAGAGTAGCAAAGCTTTATGATGGAAAAAGGAGTGACTCAGGTGGGCCCCAATCAGAGGCTGTTGGCATGGGGAAGCTGGAGGTGGGATTAGTAGAAACAAGGTGTGCTATGTGGTTAGCTAGGGGAGCATATTTAGCCCTCTCTGGTTTGTCCTAAAAGGAGCTCTGGTGATGTAGTGGTTAAAGCATTTGGCTGTTAACCAAAAGGTCAGTGGTTTGAATCCACCAGCTGCTGCATGGAACAAAGATCAGGCAGTCTGCTTCCATAAAGATTTATAGCCTTGGAAACCCAGTGGTGGTCACTATGAGTCAGAATTGACTCAATGGCAGTGAGTTTTGTTTGACTTGTCTTAAGATGGAAGTAGGACAAGTGTTAGGGAATTGGCAGTTATCGATCAAGTCCTGATCCTTTTGGGGTGATTCCTGCAGAAACTGTGGTTTGGTTTCATGGACTGGTTACTGCAGGGATTATGGGCTAGAGCTCTACAGTCATACAGTAAAACCTGCAAAAGCCAGAAGCTATGTAAGGCAGAAAACAGAAAAATGGTAAGACTGCACCGTATCAAACACAGAAACTTGTGAGACTTGGAAATACCAGATAGTCCTGTTGAGTTCTACCTCTCACAGGTTGCATTGTATATGACTTAGCCATTGTCTGTTTGCATGTTCTCTTATCCCTCCACACTCCCCCATCAGCAGGGCAAGGATGACTTCTGTAAATACAGAAGGCTGAGACATGGGTTGTCTTGCAGAGAACTGGGAGGAATGGTTGATAGGATGAGTTCTGGGTTAGATGACAGATTAGATGCACTGAGAAGTTTCCCAGAGGAAACTAGCTGAATGGAAATGGAGCCTCTCAGGCTCTTTTCCTGGAGAGGATGAGGGTGTCACTGTCTTGGATGCCATAGCACGCAAAATCCACCTGATCATGCAGGACTTGGCCTTGGAACGTGAGCTGCTGCTGCTTTCTGAGCATGCCCAGCTTGTCCTCAATCTGTTCTTTCAGGCTCAGGATGAAGTCTTTGGGGTTGATGGCATAGGCATGGCTCCCACCATCTGGATTCTTCACAAAGACCTGAATCTCAGGGGAAAAGGTTTCCAGCAGACAGATGTGGATGTGGGAGAAGACCCCATAATAGGCCAGGGAGCAGTGGCTGCTGAGGAGCTGCCGTTCACTGTCAGGGTCCTGGAAGGACAGACGCTGCAGGCCTGAGTGGCCCCGGCTCTGCCAGATCTTCTCTTTCATCTTCCTTATGGGCTCATAAGGGTCTACCCAGAGGATCAAGTCTAAGTAGCCATACTGCTCCACTGTCACCTGGATGTCTCGTGCCCTCTGGAAAGGAGAGGGAAGAGGGGTAGGTTAAATCCACATTTCTTTGACATGTAGAAGTTTCCTTCACCCATCATCATCTTTTCAACAACCATAGTAGTAGCAGTAGCAGCAGCAGCAGCAGCAAACATTTAGTGAGAGCTAACCCTGGGTGGTGCAAACAATTCAGTGCTTGGCTGCTAGCCACAAGATTGCCACTTGGAACCCACGCAGAGGTGCCTTGGAAGACAGGCGTGGTGATCTGCTTCCGAAAGGGCACAGCCTTGAAAACCCTTTGGCACAGTTCTACTCTGCACACATGGAGCTCCCATGAGTTGGAAGACTTGATGCAGTTGGTTTGGTTTGGTTTTTTAATCACCTTCTGGAGTCCCTGGGTAGTGCAAATGGTTAATGCACTTGGCTGCTAACCAAAAGCTTAGACGTTCGGATCCACCCAGAGGCACCTTGAAAGAAATTCCTGGTGCTCTACTTCCAAACACATCAACCATTGAAAACCTTATGGAGTGCATTTCCACTCTGACACACATGGGGTTGCCGTGAGTCAGAACTGATTTGATGGCAACTAGTTTTAACCACCTTCCAGGCCCTGTGCTGGGTGCCTTTCATACTCTTAACCCCATTTTATTCTTACAGCAGCCCTATGAAGTTGGTTCTACAATTACCCCCATTTCACAGAAAAAGAAATTGTGGTTCAGCAAGGTCAAGTAATTTACCAAGCATCACAAAGGTAGTAGGGAGCAGAGCAGGGATTTGAACTGAGAATGGTCAGACCCCAAAGTCTATATCCTTCACCTAGACTACACTCAAGTACCTGAGTCCTGGCAGCTGAAGAGCTCCACCAGGAAGCTTCTGGGGAGAACTGGGCCTCCAGTGGGCCTTTACAAGAAGGAATATGGGCTCAACATTGCCAAGTCTTCAAATTTTTCAGGAGAAAAGTCATTGCACAGTGTTTTACGTTTGTAGGAAAAATGCAGATGTGTATAATATTCAGCCCATTTGTGGAACGCCTTTGGCTGGTGTACCCTTAGTTTGCAATCTCGACTCTGAATTATGGAGCCACTGGCTCAGCTTCTTCCTTTCTCCTCCACGTAGGTTAGTCTGTTGTCCCTGCACACACCTTGCTTATTCCCACCTCCAGGCCTTTGTCCCACTTATCCCCTCTACCTGGAGAGCCCTCTGCTCTGAACTTCTGTACCCCTTCTCAGCCTCTAAGGCACTCCTCAAGCCCTTACTTCTTCACCAAAACTTCTCTGGCTCTGGCGACTTCAGATTTATTCACTATTCCCAGAGCCCCACAAGACCTAAGGATGAATCCTGGCTCTGGTAACTCTTAGCAAGTGTGACCTTGGTTCATTAACTCAACTTCTGTGTGCCTCAGTTTCCTCATCTATAAAGTGGGGATAATGATGATGATGACAACAACAACACTTGGCTCCCTACTTCACAGATTTGCTTCAAGGATCATTTGAGACAGTGCCTGGGCAAACACTTTATACACCGTGAAATGTGATGTCGATATAATAGGTTAGCATGATCTTTGCTTGTACCATAGGTTTGGCATCACATTATAGTATTATTTAGCATTTTTTGATTTCTGTACATCTTGTCTTTGGTAATTCTCCCTAGCTGTTTTGTGCAAGTTCATTTCGTGGACTTGGTTCTCGACAAAACACAGTGAGTCTCTTGAGAGCAGGGACCATGCCCTATTTCTGTACTACCATCACCACCTTGCCTCTATATTCTACCAGTCCCAAACCCAGTTGGGGCACAAAACAACTCGTTGAGTTGACTTGGCTGGGCTAAGCCCCTACAAAGTATGATTGGGAGAATGGAACTGATTCTCAGGTAGGTTATGGGACAGTGAAAAGATAAGGAGCCTGACCACTGTCAACCGCTTGGAAAGAGATCAGTATCAGAGATCCTGAATAGAGTGGGAGAAAAATGTAGAACAAAACTCAAAATCATAAAAAAGACCAGGATTACTCACCTGATAGAGACTGGTGAAACCCCCAAGACTATGGCCACTAGTCACTCTTCAGGTCTGGAGTTGAACTCACTCTGATGACTTAACTTTCAGCAGAACAATAGACAGGCTTATGAGGTGAACAGTTAGAACAAGGAGGTGCACTCCTTAGAACAATCAACCATGGGAGATCAGAAGGGCAGCATTTGCACAGAGATAGCACAGAGGGCAGGAATGCATAGGAAAGAAGGACACAGGAAAAGGTAACCACAGGGAGGAAGTGGGAAGAGAATTATTATATTGTGGGGATTGTAAGCAATGTCAGGAAACAATATGTGTATGAACTGTTGAATGGAAAAATAATTTGCTCTGTAAACTGTCACCCAAATCATAATAAAAAGTTAATAATAATAATAAGATAAGGAGCTTGAGGCTCAAAATGTCAAATAATTTTCCCAAGTTCCCAAGTTCCGTAGCTAATGTCTGATACAACTGGGTCTCAAACTCAGTCTGATGCTAAAGTTTTGTTGGCTTTATCCACACAGAAGTAAATAAGGAAACACTAGGCAGTTATCTCATTCTGAGCTTTAAGCCCATGATGGCCTGAAAGGAGCTATTACATTACCTTCACATTCCAGCTGGGGACAGGGTTCTCCTGGCTGTCATAGCAACAGTCCTGTTTCAGGCACTGGCACGCCCTCTGAGCGACTATGTCCCATCTGTATCCTTCTGCCACGTTATGGGTAGGGTCAGCTGGATCCAGGATGATGGGCCTGCAACACAAGTAGACGGTGCCCAGGCTCTTTCTGGGTTGAGGCCTACCAGCCAGAAAGAACACTTCTCAGCAAGCCACTGAGTCCAGGAGGGCCCCATATTTCACTGGAAAGTAATGGTCTGGGGACCATTATATTTCCAGAAATTACTCTTGGGAAGAGTATTTGAGGTCTTTGTTTGGAATTTTGATGGGTGGGGGTCAGGCCCCAAAAAGCATGCTAGAGCAATAACAGATGCCCACTCAGGTAGGTGGGTCAAGGGCTTATGGGGGAGGCATGGAAGCATTTGCCGTAATAGTGAACAATTATCAAGTATCTTGTGGTTGGGTGCCATCAAGTCAATTCTGAGTCACAGTGACCCTATGTGACAGAGTAGGGTTTTTTAGGCTGTAATCTTCATGGGAACAAATTGCCAGGTCTTTCTCCTGCAGAACCACTGGGTGGGTTTGAACCACCAGCCTTTTGGTTAGCAGCTGTGTGTTTAACCACTGCGCCACCAAGTCTCTTATCCAGCATGTGGTGTTGTTGTTAGGTGCCATCAAGTTGGCTCTGACTCATAGTGACCCTACAAACAACAGAATGAAACATTGCCCAGTCCTGCACCAGCCTCACAATCCTTGCTATACCTGAGCCCATTGTTGCAGCCACTGTGTCAATCCATCTTGTTGAAGGCCTTCCCCTTTTTCCTCTGACCTTCACTTTACCAAGCATGATATCCTTCTCTAGGGAATGGTCCCTTCTGACATGACCAAAGTAGGCATCACTATGTGCTAAATACTATAAGCCATTGACATATATTTTCTGTGACCCTCACAATAGTCCAACATTGCAGATGCCTTATACTCCTGTTTTATGGATAAAGAGCTGAGGCTCACAGATGTGGGAAAATGGCAGAGCTAGGATTTACACTTGGGTCTCTATGATTCTTTTCACTGTACATGCTTTCTCCAAAAGTCACTGAAATGGTCTTCTGAGGGCACGAGGGCTAAAGTAGGATGGAGTGGGTGGCTTGAAGAATAAGGAGACTTACAGTGCCCAAGACTCCTGGCAATTTTGATAGGCAGTCAACTTGAGATAAAGAGGTCCCATGTTAGCATGAGCTCTCAGTATGCAGCTAACATGATGGCCTTGTTGCTCTTATGTGGTGCTGAGTCAATTCTGACTCATAGAGACCCTAGAGAGCAGAGTAGAATTGCTCCATAGGGCTTCTAAGGCTATAATCTTTAGGGAAGAGACTACCACATCTTTCTTCTGTGGAGCAGCTGGTGGGTTCCAGCTGTCTACCTTTCAATTAAGAGCAGCTGAACTCTTAACCACTGTGCTACCAAGGCTCCTTATGATGGCTTTACTGCTTAATAAAAAAACCAAAACAACACAGTTCCTATTGATTCTGACTCCTGGTACCCCAATATGTGTCAGAATTTCATTGGCTGATTTTTCAGAAATGGGTCACCAGGTCTCTATTCCGAGTTGCCCTGAATGGACTTGAACTTCTGGTAGCAGCCAAGTACTTAACCATTTGCACCACCCAGGGACTCCACTACTTAGTGAAGCCCACCCATGAAGCTCTATGCCACATTTCCCTCAATCCTCTTTCTTTTCTCCTTGACACTTGGTGGGTAAACAGTGGCCCAGTACCTCTCCTTCTTGAGCTGTTTTCTGATAAACTTCTCGATGATTGGGTTCTGGAATGTGTAGTACTTGGTCCAGTAGATGCAGACAAACTCATATGCCTGGAGCAGTTTCATCACCGTGGTAAGGCCCTCAGCCAACCGAAAATTCTCATTCTCCTGAGTACCCATTTCCCATGCATAGATGGTCAGTAGTTCGAGGGCATACAGAGGCGGCAAGTTGGCCCTGGGGCACTTGGCTTCCACGTACTTTTGAAAGAGGGAGAGAGAGAGGGAGAGAAAAGGAGAGAGAGAGAGAGAGAGAGAGAGAGAGAGAATGAGACCCCAAGATACTGTGTCAGGAATGCACTGGACCAGAAGCTGGAAAATTCAAATTCTAGTCCCAGAGCGGTGGGTAGCACAGTGGTTAAGCCCTTGGCTGTTAACCAGAAGATGAGCTGTGTAAACCCACCAACTGGTTCATGGGAGAAAGATGTGGCAGTTGGCTTCTGTAAATATTTATAGCCTTGGAAATCCCATGGAAGCAGTTCTACTTTGTCCTGTAGGGTTGCTATGAGTTGGAATCGACTCAACAGTAATAGGTTTGGTTTGGTTTTAGAGTCCCAGCTCTGCCACTGACTGGCTTGGCCAAGTCACTTTCCCTCTCTGGGCCTTGGTTTCCCCATTTTAGAATTAAGTGGCCAGCTTAGTTTAAAGGGTTCCAAACTGTGCTTGACAGAGGTAACTCTTGGGATGGAGTCATGAAGAGGTGACCCAGAAGGTGAGCAGGTCGGGCCTGGCCTCCAGTATCCTAGCCTAAGCAGCTGTGTTTTATGTTTTAAAGGTATTTATAAAATATCTACAGCTTTCAGTAAATACTACAGCCTTCAGTATAGATTACACTTCAACATAAAGAAAACAGAAATCTTCACAACTGGACCAATAAGCAACATCATGATAAACGGAGGAAAGATTGAAATTGTTAAGGATTTCATTTTGCTTTGACCCACAGTTGACACCCATGGAAGCAGCAGTCAAAAAATCAAACAACGTATTGCATTAGGCAAATCTGCTGCAAAAGATCTCTTTAAAGTGTTAAAAAGCAAAGATGTCACATTGAGGACTAAGGTGCACCTGATCCAAGCCATGATATTTTCTTTTTTTTTTGCCAGTAAGAGGGTTTTATTGTTAGCTTTTATTTTTAGCTCTGGTGGTGTAGTGGTAAGGTATTTGGCTGCTAACCAAAAGGTCAGCCACTCCTCAGAAGGAAGATGAGGCAATCTACTTCCGTAGTGATCTTGCCTCAGAAACCCACGGAGGGGTCGCTATGAGTCAGGTCTGACTCAATGACATATAACAACAAACAACAACAACAACCAAAAGGTTGGTGGTTTGAACCCACCAGCCACTCTGTGGAAGAAAGATGAGGTGGTCTACTTCCATAAAGATTGACAGCTTTGGAAACCCACTGTGGGTTGGTATGAGTTGGAATCTATTTGATGGCAGTTAGCCTGGTTTGGATTTTGGTTACATACAGCACCTAGAGATTGGGGCAGAATATATCCTCACCTTTCCCTTTTAATTACATTGCAACCACGTCTCTGGGAAACTTCTTTTTGCTCAGTCCTCCTTCTTTCCTCTTCCAAGTCTTTGAGTCTTTTTTATCCTCCAGCCCTCTCTTGAGATTCTTCTGTATGTTCAAGGGACAGGATCATCCTGAGACTTGTGTGTGCTTGAGGGAGCTCAGGTCCTTCAGTATCTTCAAAGCAGGTCTCACACAGGCACATAGTCCTGCCTGCCTCTTCTCCAAAAAAACCAAACTCATTGCCATCGAGTCGGATACGACTCATAGCAACCCCTCCTTGAGTTTCCAAGGTGGTATCACTATGGAAGTAGATTGTCCAATCTTCCTTCTGAGGAGTGGCTGGTGGGTTTGAACCACCAGCCTTCTGGTTAGCAGTCAAGTGCTTTAGGCACTATGCTACCTAGCATCCTTCAAAACATTATTTGGCTAACAATCTTGCTCTTTTCTCCTTTACTGAAGCCTCCTCATAAATGAATGAAGGGGAAAAGAAAAGAATGATGGGACAAAACCCTCCTTGTCTCCACACTTCTAAATCTTACTTGTATGTTAAGGCCCAGTTCAAATCTCCCCTTTAAGCCATGGTATTTTCAATAGCCTCATACACATGAAAAAGGCGGACAATGAATAAGGAAGACCGAAGAACTGATACCTTTAAATTATGGTGTGGGTGAAGAGTATTGAATATACCTTGGACTGGCAGAAGAACGAACCAATATATCTTGGAAGAACTACAGCCGGAGTGCTCTCCTTAGAAGGAATGATGGAGAAATTTCATCTCATATCTTTTGTACGTGTCGTCAGAGGGGACCAGTCCCTGGAGAAGGACATCATACTCAGTAAAGCAGAGGGTCAGTGAAAAAGAGGAAGACCTTCAACGAGATGGATTGTCACATTGGCTCCAGTAATGGGCAACTACGTGAGGATGGCACAGCACCAGGTGCTGTTTCATTCTGCTGTACGTAGGGTCAGTATGAGTTGGAACTGATTCAATGGCACTTCACAAGAACACAACATTGCAAATTTTATTTAAAGTGCTGCAAAGTGTTGAAGGTTTGATAGTAGCTTTTTACCTTACACTGGAGAAGATGATAGTATTAGAATTCTTTTCTTTCGTATAATACTACCCCTATGTTGTCGTTGTTTGGTGCGCTTGAGGCGATTCTAACTTATAGTGACCCTATTCACAACAGAACGAAACGTTGCCCTATCCCTCAGCAACCTCACAATTGTTGCTGTATTTGAGCCCATTGGTGCAGCCACCGTGTCAATCCATCTCGTTGAGGGTCTTCACCGAGCATGGTGTCCTTCTCTATATACTGGTCCGTCCTGATACTAGGTCCAAAGTAAGTGAGACAATACCCCCTTAAGGGGATTTAAATGCTAATGTTCCAGATGTTTGTAAAAAATTAGTTTATGATTTCAAATGTTTCTTATCCTCTAAAACTAGCTCCCCAAATCTTATTCGCTTCAGCCATTCATATCTTCTGCTTCCTTTTGTACAACATATGCCCCCAAAAATCAAGTATAAAACTTCAGCCCCACAAACAAATTTTTGTGTTTTTTAATTGTAAGAAAACAAAAAATCTGATATGGTTTTTCTTAGATCTGGGCTGCATTTCTACATAAGCAGCTTCATTTTTGCTATTTAAATCCTTTGCTTCTGTGAAAGGCTTCCTTTAAAGAAAGGGCCTCTTTAAAGAACAGAAACCACAGGACTAGCTAATAGCTGAGATCTTGCAATGAGCATTGGGTTGCCTCTCTAGCAGGCCTACTTTCTTTCCCTCTTGAATGCTGTTTGGATGGGATTGATTCCACCTTCAGCTCCAGGATGGCCACAGGCCCATCAGCATAAACCTATTCCAGTTGTCATGTTGTTCAAGGGCAAGCATGTGAATGAACAAAGTTGATTCAGTTAGAGGAAATCCTAGCTCTTTTGTTCAGTGGTCGAAGGCAGAGAAGTCTTGATGTAAAGTCAGGCTCATCTGTGGCCATTTTGCCACTACGAGAAACAAAACCAAACTCACTGCCGTTGAGTCAGATCCAACTCCTAACGCCCCCTCCTTAGGTTTCCAAGGTGGTATCACTATGGAAGTAGATCACCCAGTCTTCCTTCCGAGGAGTGGCTGGTGGGTTTGAGCTGCCTTCTGATTAGCAGTCAAATGCCTGAGGCGCTACGCTACCAGAGCATGTATGTACGTATGTGTGTTTGTCTGTCTGTGTTTATAGGTGCACGTGCCTCCTGGAAAATAAGTTTGTTTTTGACCCATAATTAAAGTTGTAATACTAAACCTGCTAGTTCTCTTCATTTTTAAAAGGATAAACGGAAATGAGCATTTTACAAAAAGTCTGATTATAATATAAATTATCTGTAGAGTGCTCTTCTCCCCACCACCCTATAGGAAATTTATGGAGAATACCAAAAAAACAAAACAAAACAAAACCCTCACTGCTAGTGAGTTGATTCTGACTCATAGAGACCCCCATTGGGTTTCTGAGGTGGTGAATCTTTATGGAAGTAGATTGCCCCACCTTCTTTCCATGGAGCAGCTGATGGGTTTGAACTGCCAACCTTCTGGTTAGCAGTCAAATGGTGGCCCTATGCCACCCGAGCTCATTATGGAAAAAAATTGGGAATAAATTCATGGGTAAAGTGATGTTGCCACACAGACAGACATACCAAGGAACTGAGTCAGTTTCACTGGACTCTTTTATTTCAGAAGTAGTTAAGACTGCTTAACCAAAGATCAACAGGACTGAGTTAGTTACCTACATTAATGTTCTATTTTGATAGATATAGGAATAAAACCTCTTTCTTCTTAATCTGTCTCCAACCTGATAGCCCCCTTACCTCCAGGTACCAGTGTTTAACCAGCTTCAGGAGGCTTTTCAGCTTAGTCGGCCGATGTTTCACGAAGTTTCTCTGTAGCTCACTGAAGGATGGAGAGAAATTTCCAGGGTAAATGAGAGCCTTAATCAGACTCACATAGACTTCAGGAGGTGGCTGAAAGTTGGGAGCCAAAGGTCCTGAGGAGAGAGGAAGCAAAGGGAGAGACTGAGGACCAGGAAGCCTCAGGGTAATAGGTAGTCCACTGGGCCGGAGGTGGGTGGGAAGAAGACTGTTAATTCATTGATGTTCTATCTCCTCAGGAACCTAAAGACTTGTATCCTCAGAGACCACAGATTGGTCCTATTGAATTGTCCTTCTTGTGAAATTCTTTCTTGGGACAACTAAAATTTCCACTCCTTGGGTCACTGGTTGCTTCCCTTGATGTCCCCTAGTTTTCCTTAAGGTCTGTTTTGGAGCTATTTTTCTGTAATTATTTTAACCACACACAAAGCCTGTAGGATAAGAAAGCTGAACTCAGAGAGAGCATTTGCCTAGGGAAGTTGTTCCATGGAAGGCATCACTAACTATCCCAGCCCTCTTTCTTGCTAGGATTGGAAGCTATTTCTGACACCTTTGGCCCATAGCAACTCCAGGTAGACACTACAGTTAATAGGAGCTGACACATGAGGTGGAACCTATTTATCATCTGGAGTTGTAGCAGAAACTTTACTTCCAACACCCAGGCCTCTCTGCTTGAGTGCAAACAATAAGTGCCAGAGAGTCAATGCCCTAGGGAAGGAGTCCTCGGCCAATGACTGAGGGAAGTCTGTGGCTAGTGGAGGTTGCTCTACAGTGTAATCTAGAATTTTCCTGGGGCCTGAAGCCCATTTGACTTGTCCTATAATGTACTCTTTCTTGGTTTTGTCCCTTCCCCTTTCAATTCCCCACTGCCCTACCAGTGTTTCCTGGGATCATTTCTCAAATAAATCACCCGTCTTCAAATCCTTATGTCCCGGTCTGCATCTGTGGAAGGCTGAAGCAGAAGGTCGAAGGAGCCCCTTGCTGAAGATGGCAGAACTTGAACAAACTGTTGTTGTTGTTGTTATGTGTCTTTGAGTCAGACCCAACTAATAGCGACCCCTCCTTGGGTTTCCAAGGCGGTATCACTACAGAAGTAGATTGCCCAACCTTCCTTCCAAGGAGTGGCTGGTGGGTTTGAACCGCCAGCCTTCTGGTTAGCAGTCAAGTACCTTAGGCACTATGCTACCAGAGCTCCCTGAACAAACTAGTAGGTGTGATTAAAGTAGACGTCAATCATAGTGACTAACTTGCTGTTTCTCCCTCCCTTTCGCTTTCTCTTAAGTGAGTAGAATAGCCAACCTTTTCATGGACACTGATTTCTTTAGGTTTGTTATTTTTAGTCACACATTCTTTTAAGTATGATCCTCTCCCATGACTGGTCTTGGCCAAGGACCACAGTCTATGAAGTAAGATGATCTGGGGAGCGGAAGTCCAGGGCAACACAGAAAAGAAGAGCAAAGACATTCCTGACTTCCAAGAGGTCTTCCACCCCCTCCCTATTTCCCTATATAATCATGCTTATCCCTTTGCTCGGGAAGACAGACATTTTAGAGAAACAAGTCTCCCTGTCTCCTTGGATACCATATTCAATAAATTCTTTTGCTTTCCAGCTTCAACCAGTTGTTGATCATCAGCTCTACGCAAAAGGGGGTAAGGACCTTATTGTTCCTACGACACTTCTGGGAAAATCCAGGGGCTCTATGGCTGCAGTCATGCTATGGAAGGAAGCACATGGGGTGACTATTGTAACTCATTTCCCTTGTAGGTCCCCCTCCTGAGTGTACTTTCTGCACGAAGATTCCCCTTCCTGAGTACCCTTTCTGCTGTCACCCAGGATGACCTTTCTTTTCCTCTGGGCACTTAGCCTCATTTCCATTTATCTGTGTAATTCTTTCATAAATTTCTCTTTCCTGAGTTGAGCTCCATGGTGGCCAGAGTTGGATCATTAAGTCCTATGGACTGTGGTACCCAGCCCCCAGCCTGGGACATGAATGAATGCATACATGCATGTAGGGAGCTGTCTGAGGCATGACTGAGGGGCGAGGGAGTAGCATGTCCTGGGAGGGCAGGTGAGTGAGGTGAGTAAGCTTCCCCTCCCCTTACCCAGGGCCCTGTAGGCAGGCACGATGGTGATGGTGATGAGCTCTGCAATCTCCCTGGTCTGGATGGTGAGGACGAGAGTGTTGGGGACTCCATGGGCCACCCACAGGTCCTTCAGCTTGAAGGCCAGCAGGTCCCGGCAATGCCACACTTTTTTCCGTATCAGGCGAAGAACAGCGTGGTGGTACATGGCCTCCTCCTGGAAGCTGTGGAAACAGCTCAGGAACAACACCAACTCCACCTCCGCAGCACTCCTGAGCACAGTGCCGTTCCCAAAGGAGCCCACCTGTAGAACAAGAGCCTGTCACCTGGAGGCCACTTCCATGTCCAATCCATCCCTTACACACTTCACACACATTATCCCATTTTAGAGTGTCTGAGTGGCACAAACCATTAAGCACTCGACAACTAGCTGAAAGGTGGTTTGAACCCACCCAGAGCACCTTGAAAGACAAGGCTGGTGATCTGCTTTCCAAAGGCCTTGAAAGCCCTACGGTTGTTAGGTGCCATCGAGTTGGCTCTGACTCATAGCAACCTTATGTATAACATAAGGTCCTGCACCATCCTCACAATCCTTGCTATACAATGAAAACCCTATGGAGTATTTCTATTCTGCACACATGGGGTTGCCTTGAGTTGGAATCAACTCCATGGCAATGAATAACAATGACAACATCCCATTTTATGCTCACTGTAACCCTGAGGGACACTTGGGTAGCGCTAATATCCTCGCTCTACAGGTGAGAATACTAAGACATGGAGAAGCTACATCGTTTGCTCATGGTCACATAGTCCCTGGGTTTGACCTAGGCAGCCAGTCTCCAGAGTCCATGCTGCTTAGTGACTACATGGTGCTGCTTCCGAGCCTCAGTCTTCTCACCTGCAGAGTGAGAATGGTAATGCCTGCTTTATAGTGTCACTCTGAGGATCTTCAGGAGTCTGGGTAATTCCATGATGTTAAAGAGGGGAAGCGGGATTGCCTGGTGGATAAGAGCCAAGGACTGTGCATTGAAGCAGCCTGACTTTGGCTCTGACTCCTGCTCTGTTGCTTAGCTGTAAAATCATGCTGGGTGATAAGTCCCTGATCTGTAAAATGAAAGTAATGGTGTAAAATGAAGGTAATGGTGGAACATGAGTCACTGGTTTATGGGAGGATTAGGTGAGACCCAGTGTGCCAAGTGGCACACAGAAAATCAGTAATATATTTCTCTTCCTCCACTAACCTTTGGCACTAACTTCATCTGTGGACAATCTCTCCCACTGCCTGGGTCTCAGTTACCCCCTCTGTAACGGAAGGACCCTGATCTGGATGATTTTGAAGGGAACTTTTTGTTGTTTTGAGATTCTAGGCTTGGTCTCTAGTCCCTGTTACCTGCAGGATACAAACCCCACAACTCTCTGCCCCTCCCTCCTTGCTGGGAGGTAGAAGGGCTAAGGATTCATCAGACCTTGCGGCTTGGTTGGCCACCTCTTCTGGTGGGTGGGGTCACTAGTCACTGAACTTTAATTATAATCCAGCTCTCATGTGTCTAGCACTCCCTGTGTCAGGGACCACTGAAAGCCCTTTGCCCATGTTGCTATTACAATTACTCCTAGTTTACCAGTTGTCTTTTACTCATGGTGCTCCCATGTGTGTCAGAGTAGAGCTTGGCTCCATAGCGTTTTCAATAACAGACATTTTAGAGAAACGAGTCTCTCTGTCTCCTTGGATACCATATTGAATAACAGTTTGAAAAGAGGTCTTTTGGAAGTAGATCTCCAGGCTTTTCTTCTGAGGTGGACTTGAACCACCAGCCTTTTGGTTGGTAGCTGAGTGCTTAAACATTTGCACCACCATCCATTTTACAGATGAGAAAAGTGAAGCATCATGGAGTTGATCAACTTGCCAAGATCTCAGAGCCAGGAGGCAACAGCGTCACACTGAGTCTGAGCATAGAGTGTGTCTCGTCCACCCATTTCCTCGTGACCCAGTCTGTGGCCCAGGCCCTGATTATGAAAAGGAGGAGTTTGCTATCTTTTTTCCCTTCCTTGTCCAGTCTCTTTCTCCAGTCTGTATGCAGACTCAGCATTTCTGCCCCATGTGAGAGGGTTGGGAAGTCCTTGAGGTTGTGCCTGGACTCTCCTTTCTGCCCTTCTCAGTGGGAAGATCCAGGCAGAGAGGAAAGAACCAGCCGGACAGGCTTCATGGCTTGCTTTATTGCCATTGAGCGGATTCTGACTTAGGGCAACTCTATGTGTTACAGAGTAGAACTGATCCCTGGGATTTTCTTGGCTGTGGTCTTTTATGGAAACAGATGACCAGGCCTTTCTTCCTCAGAGCCACTGCATAGGTTTCAACTATGAACCACTTGGTTAGTAGTTGGGTGAAAACCTTTTGTGCCACCCAGGGACCTTTGTTCAAACCTACTGAAGGCCAACTCATTTGAGTGCTGGGGCTTGAGTCCATAAAGGATTCTTCCTAATTGGCGACTGCTCTTAGGATACCTCTGTCATATAGAGGTATCCAGGGGAAAAGAGGCTGTGGTCTGTGAGCAGGATTCAGGGCTGGGTGAACACCTACCGTCACGGCTCGTTCTGTTTGTAGCACCCTTCTCTCCTCAGCTTTCCCCCATTCCATCCATTTCATTCTCAGGTTTGTGAGTAAGGGTCTGGAAAGGTCTCTGTGAGTTGGACTCGTGACCTAATCCCAGAGTCCAGGCAAAAATTTGAATAATGCTTCTCTTTTTGAACATTTACCTGGTACACTAATCATTTATCCTGCAGTGCCTCATTTGAGGGAGATATGATGGTGATGATGCCGCCCCAATTGCAGAGAAGACTGAGAATTTGAGAGATAAAATGGTAAGTCCAGTGTCACAGAACTGACAAGTGAAGAAGTCAAGAGTAAAACCCAAGTCCTTCAAATATCAAAACTTCCGATTTCTCACCTCTAAAGCAGCCACCAGCCACTTCTTGGAAGGGAGATTGGGCAATCTACTTCCGTAGAGATACCGCCTTGGAAACCCAACGTGGGTTGTCATGAGTCAGATCCAATTAGACGGCAGTGAGGTTTTTTTTTTTTTTTTTTTTGGGGGGGGGGAACCATAGTAGGGATGGGTGAAAAGAAACGTTGGGGACGTGAGGCTTCTGAATCCTTCCCTGGAGGGGTTTCCTCTGAAGAGGGAATTAGAGCACTGGACTGGGAGTCAGGAGTCTCAGTTCTAGTCTTGCCTCTGCCACCAACTTGCTGTGTGATCATGGGACATCTCTCACCCTCCCTGTGCTTGAACTTCCTTCATGGTTAAGTGAGTCATTAACTGAGACTGTCTGATTCTCCAGGGTCTTTCTAGCTCTGAACCTCTTGAATTTTGAGCCTAGCTAGGCCAGGAGGTAGGAGCTCTGGTAGCATAGTGGCTAAGACACTTGACTGCTATCCAGATGGCTGGCGGTTCAAACCCACCAGCCACTCCTCAGAAGGAAGATGGGGCAATCAATCTACTTCCATAGTGATACTGCCTCAGAAACCCACGGAGGGGTCGCTATGAGTCGGGTCCGACTTGACGGCACATAACAACAACAACAACAACAGGCCAGGAGGTGGCATGAGCCAGCTGGAGGAAAGGTTTAGGGAAACCTCAGTGAGGTGGCTGGAGCCCTGGCTGTAGCTCAAGTCCCAACTCCAACACTAGCTGTGTGATCTCAGGCAAGGCACTTCACCTTTCTGAGGTTCCATTAAAAAACTCTTTTCATTATAAAAATTTGAAAACATACAGGATAAAATAAAATGCAAATACAATGAACATTCATATACTCAACCACTTAGAATGAACACGTCTAAACCCCTTGACACATCTGTTTCATCTAAACCATTTTAAAGTAAATTACAGACATCAAGATAATTTATCCTTTAATATTTTAGCACTTATGTAAAAAATAAGAGACCAATCTCCCCATAACTACAAAACTACTCCAGGCACATCTCATGTCACTACGCTTCACTTTATTGCACCTCATGGATATTGCTTTCTTCTTTTCTTTTTTTACAAATTGAAGGTTTGTGGCAACCCTGCGTCGAACAAGTTCATTGGCACAATTTTTCCAATAGCATGTGCTTATGTTGTGGGTCTGTGTCACATTTTGGTAATTTCACAATATTTCAAACTTTTCATAATGCTACCGCACACTTATAGACTATTCATCCACTGCCATCACGTCGATTCCGACTCATAGTGACCCCCACTGGGCTTCCAAGCCTGTAAATCTTTACGGAAGTAGATTGCCTCATCTACCTCCCATGGAGCAGCGTGTGGGTTTGAACTGTAGACCTTCTGGTTAGCAGCTAAATGGGTTACCCACTATGCCACCAGAGCTCCTTTAATAGGCTACCGTATAGTATAAACATGATTTTATCTGCGCCGGAAAAGCAAAAAATTTGTGTGACTTGTTTTATTTTGATATTCACTTTATTACACTGGTCTGGAACCAAACCTGCAATATCTCTGAGTCAACATCAACGATGATTCCCTTATATTATCTAATAAACCAAAGCCAAATGCACGCTGTCAAGTCAAATCCGACTCATAGCAAGCCCTCCTTGGATTTCTGAGACAGTGTCTCTACAGAAGTAGATTGCCCAGTCTTCCTTCTGAGGAACACCTAAGTCAAACACCTTAGGCACTACACCACCAGAGCTATCAAAACCCAGGCTGTATTCTAATTTTTCCAATTGTCCCCAAATTGTATTTTACAGATGGATTATTCAAACCATAATTTAATTAAAGACTTTGCATTGCATTTTGTTCTTATAAATCTTAAGCCTCTGAGCCTCTATTTTGCTCATCTGTAAAAGGGGAAAAGAATAGTACCTACTTCACAGAATGTAAGAATTGGAGATAATATATGCTAAGAGGGTCAGTCAACTGGTGTATCTTAAAATGTGAGCTATTATCATTAGCTTTCTTAGTGGACTCGTTCTGCTCAAGGAAGCAGAGGGATGTCTCGAGATGTTAACAGTGTGGGCTAGGGATAATCTGGCAAAGGGTCCCCAGCATCACCAGGGATGTAGCCCCTCATGCTGGGTTTTGCCTGCCTTCATTAAGGGATGGAAGAAACAAGTCTTACCTTGACCACCTTCAGCACCTGCACCTCCTGGTCCAGGGGATGCTCGCCTGGGAAGGGCTCCTGCCTCAGGAACTGCTCAAGGGTTCGCACAACCTTTATCACCTTTTCCTTCCACTCTCGGCTGGGCAGCAGCCACTGAGCCACGAAGGAGTCCAGCTTGGAGGCAGGGGTGCCATACAGCTCCTGAGCCAGGGCCATCTCCGCTTCAGAGTACTACTGCTGGACAGATACAGCCACACGCCTGTTTGGCTGCAGGCACACACCGCTTCGTTAAGGGGACCCCTCTTCTGCTGACCTCCAGGATCCTGGGGGGTTAAAGTACTGGAACAGAGAGAAAACCGGTGATGACTGGACTAACCTGGGGCTCCTCTCCCAGAAGCCCCTCGTTGTGGCGGTGATGCTGAGGGACACTGGGCTGAGGCTGGAAGCCTGGAACTCCCTTAAAGGGCTTGGCTGCCAGCCAACCTGCTGTCTGTTGGTTTCGATTCTCAGCTTTTTGAGTTTCCCTTTTATGACGTTTGGAAACTGAAATTCTCTTTGGCTCACTGAGGAGGCAATTTATTTATTTTATTTTTATTGTTATTTGGGTGAAAGTTTACAGAGAAAACTCACTTTCCATACAGCAGTTCACATACACTTTGTCTCATGACATTGACTACAATTTACCCTCCCACTTCCTCCCCATAGTAACTTCCCTGTGTTCTTCCCTGCATGTACTCCTGCCCCCTGAGCTATATCCCTGTGCACATACAGCCCTTCTAATCTCCCATGATTGTTTTCTCCAAGGAGTGTGTCTATCTCAGGTACATGTTCAACTCATATGCCTGTCTCTTGTTTGGCTGAAAGCCACAGGTGTGGGTTCAATTCTAGACCTGAAGGGCAGCTAGGGGCCATAGTCTCAGTGGTTCCATCAGGCTCTACCAGACCAGCAAACCTGGTCTTGAGGAGGCAATTTTGCCAGGAGGTTAGAGTTGAATGGCAACCCAACCATTCCATCTTGAAATAAGGAAACTGCGGCTCAGAAAGATAAGGGACTTTCTTAAGGTGGGGAGAAGAAGTGAGAAATCCAGACTCAAAGGGAACAGACTTGGAATTCCAGTCTTCTTTATCAGACTCTCTTTCTCACTGCTTTATTTAAACTTTTAAAAAATATTTTATATCCTGATTTTCGCTTGACGCTATAACACTGAACATCTTTTCCCATCCACACATGTTCTTCCATAGCACCATTTTTACTGATAAGTGACTGACTTCTGCCATTTTGTTTTTTTTTCTGTCTTGACTTTGTCTTTGTCCTTTCTTTTGTGTATGATTTCTTAAAATATATTTTCTTAGTGTTTGTCCTATTACATTTTTGAGCTTGCACTTACAACATTCTAGGGTGCTCTGGTACCAACTGGGAGCTCTGATGGCGTAGTGCCTAAAGCATTTGACTGCTAACCAGAAGGTTGTTGGATCAAACCTGCCAGCCGCTCCTTTCTGCACTTTAAATATATCATTCCATAGCTTTCTGGCCTCCAATGTTCCTGAGGCAAAACCAGCATTTAACCTTATGGGGGATATTTTGGTTATGACTGCTTTTCTTGCACTGTTTTTAGGCACAGCATCAGTTTTTCTTTTTTTTTTTTTAATTATTAATAAATTTTTATTGTTGTGGAATATATATAACACAATGTTTGTCCTTTTAACTATTTGTTTGTGTGGCAAATACATATGAAACAAAATATTTGTCATTTCAGCAGTCTTCCCATGTGCAGTCCAAGGACATTAATGATGTTTGTCATGTTCAATGTCACTCTTCTCTGTATCCAAATTTACCATCATCCTTAACAGAAGCTTTGTGTCTCTTTCTCCCTCTCTCCTGCCCTCCCTTGGTAAGCTTGGTAACTTGTAAACTTAAATCTCTATAAACTTGCCTATTTCAGATATTTTATATAAGTGGCATCATACTATATGTGTCCTTTTGTGACTGACTCATTTCACTCCACATGATATTTTCAAGGTTCATCCATGTAATAGCATGTATCAGAACTTCATTTCTCTTTATGGCAGAGTAATATTTCATTCTATGTATGTATCATGCTTTGTTTATCCATTTATTTGTTAATGGACTAAGGGAGGCAGCATCCTATATTGATGAAGGCCATAGTCTCTGGTGTCTGGTTAGGCATACACAATCTTGACTCTCAGCTCTGCTCCTTACTAGCTGTGTGATGTTGACCAACACCTTTAACTGCCTGAGTTACTCTTTCCTATATGTAAAATGCAGCAATTGTATCAATCTATGCATGTTGTGAGAATAAAATGGTTGCCAAGGTCCCTGTACTATACCTGAAACACAATAAATGCTCCAGAACTAGTTCAAAATCTCTAAACTCAAAATAGTATTGGCTTAGCCCACTCAACAGATCAATTCTATCCTGAGTCAGGTGGCCACTCCTGATTCAATTAGGTGCCGTCAGAGAGGTGAAGCTATTTGATGTGAACAGAATTATTCAGTTGATTAGAGAATCTCTGACGTACAGGTTTGAGTGTAGAGAGATGAAATCATGGGAGAAAGGAGGGCTGACTCAAGTCCTGGAGTTGTGAATCAGCATTCAGTGTTCAGGGAATTGCAAGTGTTTGGACATGGCTGGAGGGTAGGGTGTGTCTTGAGAGTATGAGGAAGTATAGATATAAGCAAGGACTAGATTGTCAAGGACCCTGAATGCCAATGAAAAAACTTGAACTTTATTCTGTAGGTAATGTGGAGCCATTGGAGGATGTTAAAGAGGGGAAGGGTACATTGACATTTGTGTTTCAAAAGATCACAATGGTTGGTGTACAAAACAGTGGGATAGGGAGACAGGACCATCAGGAATCTAGATCATGGGCAACTCTGTCATGGCCACCCCTGGGAACTTGCAGGCACTCGTCAGCCTTTCCTAATGAGCGTGATGGTGTCACAGTCTTTGATCTGCAGGTCTCTGAGGCTGCGCCGATTCTGCAGATTCTGACCCTGGAACTTTAGTATTTGATCCTTCACGCAAGGCCCTCCAGCTGCCTCAATCTTCTCTTTCAAGTCCCAGATGAAGTCATCAGGGTCGATGGCATACGGCTTGTTCTGGCCACTAGAGTCCTTCACAAAGACCTGGATCTCATATGGTAAGGTTTCCAGCACCCGGATACTCACCTTAGAGAAGATCCCATAATCTGCAAGGGTCTTCTGGCTGCTGAGCAGTTGCCGGTCTCCACCCGGCTCTTGAAAGGAGAGTCGCTGGTGACTGCCATAGATACACATGTCCTTAATCTTTGTTTTCATCTTCCAAATGGGGCTGTAGGGGTTCACTGAGAGTGTCCTGGCCTCCTCCCCTGTCTTTCTCACTGTCACCTGCACATCTCTTGCTGGCTGAAAGGGAGGCAGGGGTAGTGAGAGTGATTATGTGGTTATGACTGTCTGTTGTCTCCAAGCCTCTCTGTTCTGGTGACTTGTGATATAATTTACTGCCCTGCTTATACACCTTTAAAAGTAAAATGAGGTGCTATCAATGATTATGCAAAGGCATTCAACTGTGTGGTTGACCCCTCCTTGGATTTTCCAGATGGTATCTCTAGGGAAGTAGATTGCACAATCTTCCTTCTGAGGAGTGGTTGGTGGGTTTGAACCGCCAGCCTTTTGGTTGGCAGTCAAATGCTTTAGGCACTATTCCACCAGAGCTCCCATTTACTGATATACCTTTAGAAGTAAAAGGAGGACCCACCAGCCACTCCTCAGTAGGAAGATGGGGCAATCTACTTCCATAGTGATACTGCTTCGGAAACCCAAGGAGGGGTCGCTATGAGTCAGATCTGACTTGATGGCACATAACAACAACACCAACAACAACATCAATGATTACACAAAGGCATTCGAGTGTGTGGGTCCTAACAAATTACGGATAACATTGTGAAGAATGGGAATTTCAGAACACTTAATTGTGCTCATGAGGTACCTGTACATAGACCAAGAGGCTGTTGTTCAAACAGACCAAGGGAATATACTGAATGGTTTTAAATCAGGAAAGGCGTGCATCAGGGTTGTATCCTTTCACCATACTCATTCAATCTGTATGCTGAGCAAACAATCCAAGAATCTGGACTATATGAAGAAGAAAGCAGCATCAGGACTGGAGGAAGATTCATCAACAACCTGCGATATGCAGATGACACAACCTTGCTTGCTGAAAGTGAAGAGGCCTTGAAGCCTCAAAGACTGAAGTGAAGATCAAAGACTGCAGTCTTCAGTATGGATTCCACCTCAACATAAACAAAAGAAAAGTCCTCACAACTGGACCAATAAGTAATATCACAATGAATAGAGAAAAGATTGACGTTGTTGGGGATTTCATTTTACTTGGATCCACAGTCTACACCCACGGAAGCAGTAGTCAGGAAAACAGACTTCATATCGGCAAATCTGCTGCAAAAGACCTCTCTAAAGTGTTAAGGAACAAAGATGTCACTTTGAAGACTAAACCATGCCATGGTATTTTCAATCACCTCATATGCATTTGGAAGCTGGACAATAAGGAAGACTGAAGAAGAATTGATGCCTTTGAATTGTGGTGTTGGCAAAGAATACTGGAAATACCAGGAACTGCCAGAAGAATAAACAAATCCATTCAGGAAGAAGTGCAGCTGGAATGCTCTTTAGAATTGAGAATGGCCAGACTTTTGTTTCACCCACTTTGGTCATGTGGTCAGAAGGGACCAGTCCCTGGAGAAAGATATCATGCTTGGTGAAGTGGAAGGTCAGAGAAAAAGTGGAAGGTCAGAGAAAAAGAGGAAGGCCCTCAATCAGATGGATTGACACAGTGGCTGCAACGATGGGCTCAAGCATAGCAAGGATTGTCAGGATGGTGCAGGACCAGGCAGGGTTTTGTGCTGTTGCACACAGGGTTGCTGTGAGTTGGCATTGACTTGATGGCACCTAACAACAACAACAACATGAGTGATTATGTGAGACAACTGGCAGAAACTGGGGCTGTCCCAGGCAAAGTGGGACATTTGCTCATCTGAGACTTATGGGACCATTGGCTCATCCTCTGTCCTCCAACTCACCCCCATCACAGTAACAGCTGGCAGTGACTCACTATATAGCCACTCCTTGTAATGGGAAATCTTCAGAGTCCTCACCTGCCTCATGGGGATAATATCAGTATTCACTGCATCATCCAACTATTGTGTGGATAAATGATTTCACATACGTAGGCACTGGTCACAATGTGCAAAGACGTACATACATGCAAGGATATCCACTGCCATAGCCTAAGTGTGAAAACTTCCTAAAAATCTGTCAACAGGGCACTGGTTATATAAATTATTTCATGCATTGGATTGTGATATAGCTGAGTGGTTGTTAGAAAGGACAATTAGATTGAGGATAACTGGATGCTCTCATTTGTCTAGGGCAGTCCTGATTTATGTCTGTTGTCCTTGCTTTTAATATCACCGCCTTCCACTCTCAGAAGTATCCTGGTTTGAACTTTATATTATACAATTACATCTATTAGGTCTATATGTCTGGATAAGGATTGTCTCTAAGACAATTTAAATTACATACTGAATAGCTTAATGATTTAAGTAAAAAAAAAAAAAAAAGGTAAAAGTGTTATGGTAGTTAAGGTAGTTAAGGTTATATGTCAACTTGGCTGGGCCTGGTTTTGAGTGACTGGGCAGCTGGATGTAGTTATTCCCCACGATGAGATTGGTAATCAACACCATGGTGGAATCGACTGGAGCAGCTGAGTAGCTGCCTTAGGGATATGGTCTGCTTCCAGTCTATAAGGAGAAGTTTTGAGAAAGATCTCTGCAGCATGTAGCTGGGTCTTCATTTAGAAGTCTGCCATGCCCTGCTGATCTTGGGACTTTAGTGGACTTGAATTACTGGCCTGCTGTGTTGTTTGATAATCTTAGGACTGTGCCTTTTTCCTTGCTGACCTTGGGTTTGCCAGCCTCAGCAGCCAGCAGCTTCCTGAGTTAAGAAAAGTCTCCAGCTTCAGTGGGCTGGGAGCAAGAGGCAGAGCTGAAGCCCAAAGTTGAGGGGCTTTCACCCAGCCCCTTGAGCTTGGCACTTTTAGCCTCTTAAACTGTAAGAGAATAAACTCCTATTTCTTAAAGCCATCCTATTTGTGGTCTTTTCTGTTAGAGCAGCACTAGATAACCAACACAGGTATGCAAAAAAACAAGATGTACAATCAGAGACAGACAAGGGGTTATGTGTGGATGGTACCTTCCTGGAAGGTGATGGGAGACACTGATCCATCATATCTGGGAGGGTGCGGAACTGAGAGTCTGGGGGTTGAATAATGGTAAGAATATTTACCGTTAATTAAGTACTTTTCAACAGTTGATTTTTTTTTAATACTATGAACATGTGTAGAAGTTCTGGTGGCATAGTGCCTAAGGCATTTGACTGCTAACCAGAAGGTTGGTGGTTCAAACCTACAAGCCACTCCACCGAAGGAAGACTGGGCAATCTACTTCCGTAAAGATTTATCACCTTGGAAACCCAAAAGGGGTGGCTATGAGTCAGAATCAACTCGATGGCAGAGAGTTTGGTTTGAGCATGTGTTGTCTTTTCACAAAATGCAAAATAATAGTAATAATAATCACAACAACAAAGCTTACATGGAGGGGTGTTGGCAGGAGTTGGAAGTCCTGGCCTTTTCTCTAAATGTTACCATCCAGGGGGCCTTTCACCAACTGAACATTCGCAGCCAATGGGATGTGGCTAGGTGGTGGGCCCCTCTGTTGCTCTGGGCATCTGGCAGCTTCAGGTGCTATAAGGATGCAGCCAGGCTCAGAATTTCCCTGTAGAATCTGAAACGTGGACCCTGGCAACAAGTGCAGAGCAAGTAGCAGATTGGGGAAATTTGGTCTCTCAGTGCGCTTGTAAGCAGTGTCTTGGTTTATAAACCTGGAGCCCTCTGTAACATTCAGACCTAGGATGGCTGTCATCCCTGCATTAGAGGCAGCACAGCTGGGGTTGCTGTCTGCAGTGGAACTCTGTGCTTTCTGTGTACCGTTTTTGGATGTATTTATTAGATTTCCTGTTTTAATTGCAAGAAGTTGAGATCTTCACAGCCCATGACAGGGAAATGTTCTGTCAGTAGATGTATTTATGTCAGTAAATTCTTTGACTACATCTCTAGTTGTCTACTAAGAAGGGCAGGGACTGTTCTGCCCATTTTCTAGGGGAAAGAACTGAGGCCCAGACATTTCCAGGGCAAGGGGAGGAAATGCACACTTGGTTGGCTAGGACATCTCTAAGGGAGGTGTTGCATGTATGAGGAACGTGTGGGTGCTAGAACAGGAGTTGTAGGAGATTCATGGGGGAGTTGAAATGAAGTCAGCATTGAGTCATGACTGTGAGGTGGGGTCATACCTGTACATGCCAGACCTGGCTGGGGTCTTCAATGTGGCAGCAGGCCTGCCGGAGGCAGCGAACAGCTTCTTTGGCCACCAAGTCCCACCTCTTCCCTTTTCCCAGATTATTGGTAGGGTCAGCTGGGTCTAAGATGACAGGTCTGGAAGAGAGAAAGGGTGGGTCTGGGCCACATTCTTGGTTCTGGCCTTTGAGCTCAGAGGCAGTGGAATGGTGTCTGCCTCTGAACGGTGGGCTCCCTGCATGCTAAACATTTTGGTTGAATATTAGGGATGTAACCAAAGCTGGCCGAGGTATACCTTAGAACTTTTGCTTGTAGTTGGGGGGCAAAGGTATATTAGAAGGTCCATATCCAGATGGGAAGCCTGGACTTCACACAGCCATGAAGGAATTAACCTGAAGTCAAAGCTGAAAGGCTGGGATGGCTGTGCTAAGCAATTCCAAGTCTTGTGACCCTGATGACATAGTGCCTACCTGGATCACACCATTCCTGAAGCTTCTTTTATCTTTAGAATTTTCAGTTACAAGGCCAAAAAAATCTCTTTAACTTTGACACTGAGTTTCATTTTCTATCCCTTGTGGCTGAAGGTAAGACAACCAACACACTCACCTGCATTCCTTCAACTTTTGTTTGATACAGTTTCTGACAATCTCATTTTGGAAGTCATAGTACTCGGTCCAGTATATGCAGATGTCTTCGTGATCTCTGAGGAGTTTCATCACAGCTACGAATCCTTCATCCATGTTGAAGCTCTCACTTTCATCTGTACCCATTTCCCAGGCATAAATAGTCAGTAGCTCCAGTGCGTATTTTGAAGGCAAAGGTACTTTTCAATACTTAGGTTTCAAGTACTGGAGAGGGAGAGAGAGAGAGAGAGAGAGAGACAGATAGACAAACAGATTGAGATTGCTTTCTGGGAATTTTTTTTTTCTTTCTGCTAATAAAAAAAGTGACTACAACCTTGTCCCTTGTCAGCTCTACTATACCACTGGGAGTTCTTACAGAACATACACATACACTTGTAGAACCATTGTCTGCCAACCCTATACATGGTCTTGGGTACACTCCCTGCTGCATAGACATACCTAATAGTTCAGCCTGTCCACCCATCTATCCACCCGTATACCCATGTTTGCCTTCACTGACAATGCAGTATTGTATGTGCTAAAGGGTTCATCTTTGTTGTTTGCACCTCCCATATACCTCTCTATGTCTTCTTCTTCCTCAATGCCACCATGCTGATCACTCACATTTGGTACACTGCCCTTCTCTTCACCCAAATCAATACTTATGTCTACCTATCTAACAGTGTTCCCTACCCTACCCTACCTTGGCTAGACTGTGCCTTTGAGTGGCTGGGCAGCTAGATGTAGTTATTCCCCATGATGAAATTTGTAATCACCTCCATGGTGGAATCTGCTATGAGCAGCTAAGTCAGTGCCTTCAGGGTGTGGCCTGCTTCCTACATATCGGGGGAGGCTCTGAGAAAGGCTCTGAGGCTCTGAGAAAGGTCTTTAGCTTTGGGCACATCTGGACCCTGCATTTGGCTGAGTCTTGGCCTGCTGTGTTGCCTGCTGATCTTAGGATTGTGCCATTTTACCTGTCGACCTTGGGCTCATGAGGCTCAGCAGCCAGCAGCTGTATGAGTCAGAAAGAGCCTCCAGCTCTAGTGGGCCTGGAACAGGAGGCAGAGCTGAAACCTAAGGTCAAGGGGCCTCTACCCAGTCTCTAGAGCTGGCACTTTGAACTTGGACTTCTAGCCTCCTAAACTGTAAGAGCATAAACTCATGTTTGTTGAAGTCATCCACTTGTGGCATTTCTGTTATAGCAGACCTAGAGAACCAAGACAATGTGTTAAAATTATAAACCCTCTACCTGTAAATCAGGAGCTCTGGTATAGTAGTGTCTAAGGCACTTGATTGCTAACCAGCCACTCCTCAGAAGGAAGGTTGGGCAATCTACTTCTGTAGTGATACTGCCTCAGAAACCCAAGGAGTGCTCGCTGTGAGTGGGCTCTGACTCGATGACACATAACAACAACCTGTAAATATGACCCTGTTTGTAAATAGGTTTTTGTTATGTTAATGACCCTATTACCAGAGTAGGGTGGGACCTAAACCTAATCAATTCTGAGTTATGAAAAGAGAAGAATAGACACAGAGACATGCACAGTGGGGAGACAGATGACATGTGAGGACCATCTCTCAGGAAAGGGACACCAAGGAACACTGAAGATTGACGGCAGTCACCAGACACTAAGAGAGAGGTTCTTAGAAAGAATCAACATAACCAAGAAAATGGTTTGCACTTTCTAGGCTCCAGAACTGTGGGAAAATAAATTTCTATTCATGAAAACCAACCACTTGTGGTATTTGTATTACAGCAGCATAGTAAACTGAGACAACAAATGGCCATCCTTCATGTTACTCAGTGCTCTATTACTGTCTCACCTATACTCTTTAACCTGCCCCCTATGGTTGGACAGTTAGGTGATTTCCACTTTTTTCAATGTAAAATATGCTTCCATCCACCCTCCCTCCCCCTTGCCCTGCCCAGCACCCCTCCCTCACCTGCAGGTACCAATGCTTCACCAGGCGCAGTAGGCTCTTCAGCTTAGCAGGACAACTTTTCACAAAGTGTCTCTGCAGCTCCGTGAAGCTTGATGAGAACTCCCCAGGGTGCCCGCCACTGGTTATTAAGTCTTCGTAGATTTCTGGGGATGGTTTTGTGTCTGGGCAAAAGTGTCCTGGGAGGAGAAAAATAGTTGATTAAGAAAATCTGCCATTTGAGATGAAGAAGACATAAAAAGGCCTACTGTGCATAGAGGTATGCATGAAATACCTCACTCAATACTCACTATAGCAATATTACTCTATCCATTTGATAGCTAAATAAGTTGAGGCCTAGATGGTTTCGTAGCCAAAAAAACAAAGAAAGAAAAAACCGAAACCTGTTGCTGTTGAGTGCATTCTGACTTGTGGCGACCCCATGTATAATGGGGTAGATTGCTCTGTAGAGGTTTCTTGGGTATAATCTATGGAAGCAGACCTCCAGGCTTTTCTCCATGGTGCCACTGGGTGTGTTCAAACCACAAACCTTTAGGTAATAGTCCAGTGAAAATGCTTGCATCACCCAGGAACCTAGATGTTATAGTAGCACACCCAAAAGTCACATAGATTTTCAATAGCTCACCTGAACTAACTTACCATGTGTCGGGTAGTGGGCTAAGTCATGGATCCTCAGAATAGACCCATGAAGTAAGTAAAATTAAGTGGCGCCATAGGAAATTGGCATTTGTATAGGTCCAACATGGTCAAATATCCTAAGATTCAACTTGATATTACTATTTCATGTAAAAGATTGGTGGCTGAGTCTTGGAGAGGTTAAATAACTTGCCCAAGGTCACACAACTGGTAACTCTTGGAGTCAAAATTTGAAAACACTAAGGGCCCTGTTTTTCAAAAAATAATTGCAATCTAGTTCTGTCTGACTCCAAAGACCTTGAAGTACTTGTTCAACCCATCACTTTCCATTTGGTCAGATAGAAGTCTACTCCTTGGATTGAGTGGGAATCCATTATTTGTGAAAGGCCGCTTTCCTCATGAAACAATTGGACATGGTAACACATTCATTTATGGGAAGTCTTAATCCTCAAGTATATCTCCACTCCTACCCTCTGATAAAGAGTACACTCAGTCTTTCCTCATTGGTTCCCACTTTCCCAAACTCCCCCAAGACCAGGTTGGCTAAGTGGTTGGCCCTGACTGGTTTCTCTGTACTCAACCCATCTCTGTTTTTACCCAGAGCGTTGAAAGCTGGGAGCACGTCCACCCAAATGACTTCACTGCTCTTCTTGGACTGGACCTGCAAGGATAGGGACCGAGGAGCCTGGGTCCCCACTCTGGGCCGGACCAGTGATACGTTGTAGGCTAGACTCCTACTACAGCGATCCAGTTTCTCCTGGATGAAGCTGATGATGACTTCTCGGAGCTGGGCCTGGTCTTGGAAGCTGGAAAAACAGCTCAAGAACAGGACTAGGTCAACATCGGAGCTGTAGTTCAACGTCGTCCCCTTCCCTGAGGAGCCACCCTGTGGGAGACAGCAATATTGAGCTTCATCTAAAATGAGGCCTGGTGCCTGAGTTTAGAGGTGGGTCAGAAAATCCAAATTAGGCTGTTTACACAGTTTCCCAGTGGAGCCCTTGGTCTCCATCAGGTATAGTGGATTGGGCGGAGGGTAATTCTGTCCCTTCATTGGTCAGAGAAAAAAATGTACTTGATAAAAATTCAAAGAATATAACTGAAATGTAAAACACCATTCCACCCTAAGCCCTAAACCCCTTCTCCAGAGGCAGGTATAATTACCAGGCTTCTTATATATCATTTAGGGATCTCTGGTGGCATAGTGCCTAAGGCATCTGACTGCGAACCAGAAGGCTGGCATTTCAAACCCACCAGCTACTCCTCGGAAAGAAAGTTGGGTAATCTACTTCCGTAGTGACACTGCTTCAGAACCCCACGGCAGTAAGTTTGGTTTCTTTGGTTTTATGTATCATTTCATAGATGTTCTACACCTATCCAACATGATAGCTAATAGCTACATGTGGCTATTTAAATTTAAATCAATTAAAGTTAAGTGGCATAAAAAAAATTCAGTTTCGCATTCACATTAATTTCAAGTGCCCAATAGCCGAAAGTGGCTAATGGATACTATATTGGACAGCTCAGATATAGAATGTTTCCATCATTGTTGAAAGTTCTACTGGGCAGCTCTGGTCTAGACAAACATAGTGTGTGTACGTATTTTGTACATATATTATGTATGTGTGAAAAATTAAAAGCTATTTTGTAAAAATATTTTTACTTTGAATGATTATAGTTTCACAGGAATTTGTAATGAGAGTACAGAGAGGATTGGTGTACCTTTTACCCGGTTCCCCCCAATCATAAAATCTTACATAAATACAGTAGAATATCAAAACCTGGAAACTGACAACGGTACCATATGCATTCTGATCAGGACCTTTTAAGTCTTTAGATGGAAAAGGCTAAGATGATGATGTAAATCTAGCACAGAGAGAAACATTGTTGGAGTCCTACAGGAAAACATTTTGTCTGCTCAGATGTGTGGGAGAGTCAGAGCTCAGAAGTGCAAAGCTGTATCTTTCTAGACAACTACAGGAGCTTGAATATTTGCATTTCTGTTTGAAGGTCAAAGTTTGCTGATAACCAGTCTTTGGCTAATAATAATAATAATAATAATAATAATAATTATTATTATTATAATAATCTCTTGAGACTCTTTAAGGCTGTGTGTCCTTCCTTTTCAGTCTTACCCTCAGCTGACATTGCTCCTTAAGTTACAGCCACTCCTACTTACATTTTTGTTAGATATTTTCATTCCACCAAAATCTAACCCTGTGGTCAAGATGTTTTTGATTGAGAGAGAAATGTTAAAAGTTGAATTACAATGACCATTTTCCTAATATATTACTATACCACGGACTGCCAGAAGAACAAATAAATCTGTCTTGGAAGAAGTGCAGCCAGAATGTTGCTTAGAAGCAAGGATGGTGAGACTTTGTCTCATGTGCTTTGGGCCCGTCCTCAGCAGGGCCCAGTCCCTCGAGAAGAACATCATGTCTGGTGACATAGAAGGTCAGTGACAAAGAGGAAGACCCTCAGTGAGGTGGACTGACACGTAGAGGGTGCAACAACGGGCATAGCAATGACGGTGAGTAGGGCACCGTTCCAGGCAGGGCTCTGTTCTGCTGCACATAGGATTGCTGTGAGTTGGAACGGACCCAATGACATCCAACGACAGCAACTTTCCCTGAGAAGGAAAATGGAGCTGAGAAATGGTGAGCTCCTGAAAATTCATTTATTCTCTAAAGCACCCTCCAAACAAGCAAACAAACAAACAAAAACCAAACTCATTGCTTTCTAGTTGATTCGACTCATAGCGACCCCTCCTTGGGTTTCCCAGGCAGTGTGTCTACAGAAGTAGATCTCCCAATCTTTCTTCCCAGGAGTGGCTGGGGGGTTTGAACTGCCAGCCTTTTGGTTAGCAGTGAAATGCCTTAGGCACTTGCTAGGTAGTTTATAACATAACCAGTGCATGCCATTTTAAAACAACACTATACAAAGTTATTTTTATGACTGTGAGGGTAAAGTAGGGTTTTTTAAACAAGGAACAGAAAAGCATAAATCTTACAGTGGTCTGCTATCCTTAGTTCTCCTGACTCCTTGGCACCCAGTGAGCTGGATCCCAAATAATAATAATAATGAACATGAGGACAGTGATCATCATCCTTTATATTCTTGACCAACTCACCATGGAAAAGCACATGTCCATCCTTTATCCCATTTATTGTGCATAACAAATTCATGATAAAGAGAAGACTGGGGCTGAGAGACATGACAAGACTGCACCTTCCAAGGTCATACAGCCCCAAAGGGGCAGAGATGGGATTCAAAGCCCCAAGTTCCCAAGTGCTCACCTTCACCACCTTCAGCACCCTGACTTCTTGATCCAGAATCAGCTCATCCTGGAAGCAGTGGTCCCGCAGAAACCGCTCCATTCTCTGCCAGGCATCCTGTACCTCCTCCTTCCAATCCCCCTTGGGCTGTAGGTTCTGCCTCACGAAGATGTCCAGCTCGTCCGCAGGGGTCTCGTACAGGTCTTGGGGGAGTTCCATCTCGGCAGGAGCAGGCTGCCCCTTGGCATCAATGCCCTCTGCTCTGGGCAGCCTTTTTAAGAGTACACTCTGTAGCCTTGCTTCTGCAGGCAAAAGGCCAAAGAGAGGAGAACAAAGTGTGGGGGTAAACAGGGCTTTATCTTCCTCTGTTGGGGTGGAGAGAGGTCAGGGATCCCTCCTAGCAGCGCGTTGCTCCTCCCTCCTTGGTCACATGAAGCTCTATAGCCAGTCTCTTGCCAGATCCTGCCTGCTCTCTTGACGTTTCGAAACTGAAACTGAATTTGCAGAGCTGGCTGTTGCTTTTTCTCCTTAAGTGTGCCTGAGAAAGTAGCTGGAAGTTAAGTCCTCTGGTGGTGTAGTACCTAAGACATTTGATGAAAACCAGAATGCCGGCGGTTCAAGCCTACCAGCTACTCCCTGGAGGGAAAAATGGACAGTCTACTTCCGTAGAGATACTGCCTCAGAGATCCAACGAGGGGTCACTATGAATGTAACAGACTCCACAGGACTGAGTTTTGTTTTTGGGTTTAGGGGCTTTCCCATAGGCTCTCAGCCAGACAATTTTCCAGAATGTCCTGGAGTTCGCCTCCCCCATTCCCTGTTGCACAGGAAGAGGAAGAGAGAGACTAAGGGAGGGAGTGAAAAAAAAGAGGGGGCTGAGGGAGCGAGGGAGACACACAGAAAGACACAGAGAGAAAAACACCCCTAGAGAGAGACACACACACACCCAGCCACCCAGAGGGACAGAGCAGGAGAAGGCATGAGAG